CATCGCGTGTGAAGAACGGGGGAGCCAGGATGGCTGGAGCAGCGTGAGAGAAGGGGGGACTGGTAAAGGTGAGGCAGAGGGTCAGCTTCGTCGAGTTGGTTGGCTGGGCTTGGCTTTGCTGAGAGGAGCTGGCAAAGACCACCACTTTATCCGAGTACGTCAGGTCATGGGAACTGGTCACCAGGCCACCAGTCTTTGTGCGGGGCTGTGCGGGGCCCTGCATCCTCCTGGAGAAAGGCTGATCGAGGCCTGGATCACACTGACCAAGTCTCCTGAGCTGGGTACAATGGCTGATACCAAGCGTCAGTACAAGGGGCCTCCCAGATCAGGTTTGCTCAGCTCTCCCCAATTGCCTTTGAATCCTAACATTAGCCTTGTGACTTTCACCACGTTCCAGCCTAAAGAATTAGGAGTCGACAGTGTCAAGCTGCCAAGGTAGAGGAGGGTGATGATTTCAAACCCTGAGCTCTGCCACTGTCTCTGCTGTCTTTGGGGGAGCCACCTGCTCTTTATGACCACCATTGTGTCTGGTACCTTGGAGCATGACTGTGGCTGGGAGGGTCTGTCAACCCAGGACCCTTCTGGCTTTTGCAGAATTTCAGCCTTGTCCTCACTGATGTCCTGCTTCCCTCCAGAGTTCTCGGGACACAGCTGGTGCTCAAGAGCACCCTCTCTGGGTAGTGTTTCTTCCCATCCTGACGTTCGTTCCCACATCCCGTTTGATCATTGGCAATCCATCAGCGTAGGCCTCTGCTCCCATCCCCCACCACTCCAGGGACGCCTTACTCAGGAAGGTTTGCGGCCTTATGGCGCTGACGTGCACAGTGCGTTAAGATGACAAGTGGCTGTATGGATAGACATTTCTGCATCTTCCATAAAACTGCTTGTAAAGGTCCGGGTTGGTTATGATTTCGTCGTCCTTCTGTGCAGGGTGGTAGTTCATGCCACACACATTTTTTATGGCCATGCACCGAAGTGAGTGAGAAAGGAGCTCTCTGTCGGTGAGCTCACAGGACAGGGACACGAGGAAGGAAACAAGGGCAAGGATGCGTCCCAGGCCCCGTGAGGACAGGTCCAGTGGGCGTGGAGTAAAGTGTCAGTTCTTAGAGCGAGTTGTCAGGAAACGCGCAGCAGAGGAGGAAACACGTGAGGTACATCTGTGAAAAGGAGCGTTGACCCGCCCAGAGGGCAGAAAATTCATGCCACTCGAGTCAGCCCGTCAGGTCTGTGTTCCACCCCTGACCCTCTAAGCCTGGAGCTCTGGGTGAGGCCTTGAGATGGCACAACCTGTCCTCTCAGACTTCAGGAGGGTGACCCTGGGGACAGCGTGGGTGGCAGAAATAATCCAGGGACAGGGAAAACCTAGATCTGGCATATTGGCGTCTCCACGGTGACCATAGCGTTCCCCCCTGACCCAGCCTTCCGAAGCGCTGTCAGGACAAGCGGCAAAGTGGCACCACTCGAAGTGGAACCGAGCAGGATCGTTGCAGGGCTGGACCTATAGGATGGCGCGGGCTGCAGAAGAGCCGCCTTGGGCGGCCTCCCCGGAATCTGGGCCTGAAGGGGGCAGGGCTGCCCGGGAGGCAGGCAGGAAATGTGGGTAATGACTGGAGCAGAGCAAGGACAACCTGATGCCCTGGGGATGGACTGGAGCCACATCTGCCCCCATCGCCTCACCCTTGATGGCGTGGGTTCCTTTGGCCGTGAGCTGCACACGTGAGCCTCAGGACGCAGAGAAGCTGGAGGGGGTCCAGCAGGAGCTGAGGGAGATGGGGGCCATCTGCTGGCCTCCCTGGGGGAGCCAGTGGATTAGCAGCACACGCATGGCTGCAGCAGCACCTGGTGCCCTGCAGGTGGCGCCCTGCACCTTCCCGTCTACCTTCTCAATCTCAAGCAGAAGTCTCTGGGGCCAAGAGTGACTCAGAACCACCTAGGAAAGGAATTCTGGGAAAGTAGTTCCGGCTGATTGCTGTGCACACAGCACACAGCCACCAGGGTTGGAAGGGCTGCTCTTTTCTCCATTTGACAGAGGTGGAAGTGGAGGAGTAGAGAGGGAGGTTCAGTGACTTGCCCAGAGTCACACAGCTGTTCAGTGAGCCTTCTGCTTTGCTACCTTTAAGAGCTACTCAGTGCTTCTGCTTTATGACATCAGTAACCCCCTCCCCTGTCCCTGCAGGAATTGGACCTCAGAGCCACCCAGGCCATGGGGAGCTTCTCTAAGATGAAGCTTCTAAGGTGAAGGATGGGTTTATCTCTTGATAAACCATTCTGAGTCCCAGTCATGGCACTTATACTTCTCTGCATTTCACCATGCTTGCTAATAAGTTCCCTACGTTCTCTTATAGAGTGTTTCCCGTGCTTAGTCTGGGGCTTACCGTGAGCACCCAGTGTGGCCGTTTGGTGGAATAAGTGAGTGCCTGCACCGTGTGTTGGACTCTGACAACAGTTGCTACCTGTTGCCCATCAGCTGCTTGCCAGGGGCTGTAGGTGTCACACTGCCCCTTTCAGAAAAGGGGATTGAGATTTGAGAGCTTGGGTTTTAGCGATGGGTTGTAGACATCCCCGCGGGCTCATCACTGCCGTTTGTCAACAAGCCCCAGCAGCACAGCTTCCTGGATTCGCAGACCCAGGAGAGGACCGCCAGAGTCGTCTTCTCGAGCTGCATTTGGGGGTGGGGGCACCTCGACCCCAACTCCCTGGGACCTAGATGGGACGAACACAGACTTTATCCACCTCTGGAAATTCAGAGATGAGGGCTTTGCAAACTGAGTGAGTGAGTGGAGCCAGAAAGGTGTGGCGTGACCACAGTCAGAATTCAGCCTCCGAATTTGGGGCCTCAAAGTGCTTAGTTGAACGCCTCGGTCTCCCAACTTCAGCTTTCTGAACCACATTGCCACCTGGGACTGTGTTGGTCTGCGATTCCCGGGTCTCCCATTGCCCCTGTGGCTGCCTCTCCCCGAGGCTGCCGAGAGCCTGCACAGAGGGAGTTCGGTTCAGGGTCCTCCCGCCGTGGCCGCCACTGTGTGACCTCATGGACCGCAGGGGCCAGGCTTGACACAGGCCGTACTGATCATTTGAGGAGGTAAAATTTCATAAGGTGATTATTTTTAAAAACTTTAAAATTTGAAGTAATTTTAGATGTATAAGAGAGTACAAGGCATTATAGCCTCGAGTTCCCGAATACTCTCTATCCAGCCTCCCCTAATGTTTCACATCTCATATAGACAGCCAGGGTACACTTACGCCAACTACAAGGTCGACAGCACTGTTAACACAACCCTGGACTCTGATTCCCCAGCTTTCCACCGAGGGGCCTTTTCTCTGCAGGATCCAGGCCAGGATGCCATGCTGCCCTTGGTCCCCACCTCGCCTCCGTCTCCAGCCCACGAGTTTCTCGGTTGTTCCTTGTCTTTCGTGACCTAGACGTGTGTCAGAAGTAGTACTCAGGTTTTGTTGTTAATCCTCACCCAAGAATATTTCTTCCATTGATTTTGAGAGAGAGAGAGAGAGAGAGAGAGAGAGAGAGAGAGAAACATCGATGTGAGAGAGAGACATCGATTGGTTGCCTCCTACACAACCCTGACCGGGGCTGGGGATCAAACCTACAACCCAGGTATGCGCCCTTGACAGGGAATCGAACCTGCGACCCTCCAGTATGCAGACTGACGCTGTAACCACAAAGCCACAGTAGCCAGGGCAGTACTCAGATATTGTGTAGACTTTCCCTCAATATGGTTTTGCTTAATGCATTTTCACGATTAAGCTGAGGTTAAGGATTTTTAGGTAGAACACCAAGAGATGTTCTTCTCGCCATGTCATATCAGGAGGCACACGATCTTAGCATCATTTGTTAATGATCATTTCGATCTTGATCATAGCTAAGATCACTTGCTGGGTTCTCCACTGTAAAGTTACTGTCTCCCCTTTCCATACCCTATTTGTTAGAGACCAGTTATGAGTCCAGCCCACGCTCAAGAGAGGGGGGAATTAAGTTGTGTCTCCCAGAGGAAAGAGTTGCAAAAGATGTGTGGATGTATGTGAAAACCACCACTGTTCAGGATGGTGAGGGAGACGTCTTTGGTACCATGCGGATATCTTGTTTCCAGTGAGGTGACTTTTCTAATGACTTACTCAGTTTTGAGCTCCAGGGAGCAGGCTGTCATCCCTCTTCCCAACTTTCTGTCACCAGGTTAGTGAATTTGAATAATAAAATGCTTAAGGAATCCAGTCTCTTTGCGTATGGATGATGCTCTGTCAGATTTCTGCTGGCAGCTGCATTTTCATATTGGAGAATCTGGAGGCTGTGTCTCCTGGGAGTGAGGGGGAGCTGAGCCTGAGCCTCGTGGGCCGAAGGTCAGGAGCTAGTGGTGCTCTCTCTTGCATGTGACTCGCTCATTTGCTTGCAAAGATAAGGTAACAACTTATAGGAAGTGCTAAGATGACGTCAATAGCAAACTATTTTTAGATGCCTTTTTTCCCACCTTGAGGGCTATTGTTGAATTTCTAATTGCCTCCTGTGAATTTAAGGGGAAAATATGGTTATAAGTAGCTCCACTGATACTTGACTCTATGGTTAATTCAGCTGGCTCTATGCTGAAGTGTTCTTAGGCTTACATGTTACAAAATTCTTAATCAGCCGCTTTTTAAATTACCTATGAAGAGCTACATGGAAGGCCCTGGGTTTAGTGTTCTGACCAACTGTTATTGATCAATGATTGCCAGTCGTTTTGGCAGAATAGTGCAAAGGGGGTCTCCTATAGGGAAAGAAATAATAGGTTCCTAAGGAAATATAAGTCAGGATTGTCTGTTTTTGATCCTCTTTTCCAGTTCCCAGTGACACAGGTAACTGGGATCCGAAAACAGGCAATATGCCTCCTCCCGGTGGCAGCATACCCAACTGATTGGTTGTTCTGGGAACAAAGCTGATCTTTAAAGCAAGTGCTTTGCAGATGATCTGCTCTAGTGGGTGAACTGTTGAAATCTGGACCTTTCTTTTCTAGGATGATTTCCTGTTCAGCGTCTCCATTCTAAGTGGGATCCTTTGCAGCATCCTGGCCGTGTTGAAGTTCATGCTGGGGAAGGTTCTGACCAGCAGGGCACTCATCACAGATGGTGAGTAGGGCCAGTGCGCCTGGCCTCCGAGGGCTGAGGTCGCCATGAGGGAAGAGGCTGTGTGTGTCACCTGTAGTTGCTTGTCTTGCAGAAGAGGTCAACAGCCTGGAACTGGGTCTCACCAGCCTGGCCTCCCCAGGCTGCTGAACGATTCGCAGGCTCCCGTCATCGGGCAGGTGGCTTGTGCGCTGGGACTGTATACACTTCATGGATCACCTCCGCCCTGACCTCCTAACAGGGTGGACGGGGCTCCCCAGCCTTTTAACCACGAAGCAGAGGGCTTCCCGGGGTCTCCGGCTTCATGTGCAGTGCTCCCGATAAAAAGTAAATGTCTTGCCCTGGCCAGTTTGGCTCAGCAGTTAGAGCGTCGGCCTGCGGACCAGAGAGTCCCGGGTTCAGTTCCTTCTAAGGGCATGTACCTTGGTTGCAGTTTGTCCCTGGCCCTGGTTGGGTTGTGTGGGTGGCAGCCACTCGATGTGTCCCTTTTACGTCAATGTTTCTCTCTCTCTCTGTCTTTCTCTCTCTCCCTCCCACTCTATCTGAACAAAAAACAAATGGAAAAAATGTCCTCGGGTGAGGATAAAAAAAAAAGTGAATGTCTCCTCCGGAATCTATAAAAGTTTTCTTTGTGGATTCTCCGTGCTCATTTTCCCCTCCAGCTGGTGAGACGCTTCCCTGGGAGTTCCGGGTGCAGTTACCGGGCCTTGCTGGGGAAGTGATCCATGTGTTCTCTGCTGAAAACCCAAACCAGGTGGAAGGGCCCCTCTGTGCCCCTGGGGGTCAAGGGGCACTTCCTACATGGCCTTTAGGGGACAGAGAAGGAGGTGTGAAAGCAGGAAAAATGCATTTCAGTTTGTAAACTAGTTCTGGTGTGTAAACAAGAAATTTCACAAACGGATCACCTGGCCATGTTCTTTTTTCTCATTCTTGAGCTTGTGCTGTTGCCAGGGGGTCAGGAGTAGAGATGAGCCTGTGCACCCTGGGGTGACAGGTCAAAGGGTAAAAGCTTATGGTTTGGTGTGTGTGTCTGCACAAAATAGAGGAGAAATCATTGGATTTCTCTTTTAAGAACCACTCACACCCGCAGCCCCCAGCCCCTGAGCTGCTCTCCTCTGGGACCCCTGAGTGCAGGCAGCCGGCCGGGCCTTGGTTCTGCTGTGGGGCAAAGGGTCGTGCGGAGGGCCCTTCTCTCCCAACTGACAAAGCCTGTTCGGATTTTAACCCCTCGTCCTGTGCTGATGCCCCGCTGTGCGTGGATCTAGGTTTTGCACAGTAGGGCAGGAAGTCACAGTGGTATTTGCAGAGTTGCCACCTCGCAGCCCTGGGAGAGCGTGTGTGTTTACTTTGAACAGACCTGACGAAGCTGGGCTCACGTGAGCTCACGTCCTGACCGCAAAGCCAGGGAGCCCAGATGCCTGTCCGTCGACCCTACCACTGGCCGCATCAGAAGGCTTGTGGTGGTTTGTAGAAACAGATTCCAGGCCTCAGCCCTGGCGATTGGTTCTGGGTCTGAGGTGGGTCCTGTCCCTGTGATGACACTGAGCTTGGTGCTGCCTCCATGGCCGGCCTGAGCCAGGGAAGGTGACCGAGCAGTGTCCCAGCTGCCACCTTGACCAGCAGAACCTGCTGCCTGCTTCTGCCCTTGCACACCTTCCTCTCTGTGCTACGGAGGCCGTGTGCTTGCAGCAAAGCAACACGTTCCCAATAGTAAAAGCTGTTTAAAACAGTGCAGGGCTTGGTGCTGGGATCGAGGCCTCTGGTCCCTGCTCGGCTCTCAGGCAGCGAGCAGGCCCCTCTGAGAGCACCCGGCGGCCCAGCCCGGCTGATGCTGCAGTAACACCGACCCACAGGTTTTGCAGTTTTTAAAATTTTTAATTTATCTTTATTGTTGAAAGTATTACAGATGTCCCCTTTTATTCTCACCATTGACACCCCCTCCCCCACACCTTCACCACACTATTGTCTGTGTCCATTGGTTTTGCATATTCGCTCTTTGGTTAACCTCTCCCCCACCACCATGTGTTGGGGGACTGTATAAACTTCATGAATCACCTCCGCCCTGACCTCCTAACAGGGTGGACGGGGCTCCCCAGCCTTTTAACCACGAAGCACAGAGGGCTTCCTGGGGTCTCCGACTTCATGTGCATTGCTCCCAGTAAAAAGTAAATGTCTTGCCCTGGCCAGTTTGGCTCAGCAGTTAGAGCGTCAGCCTGCGGACCAGAGAGACCGGGTTCGGTTCCCGCTAAGGACATGTACCTCGGTTGCAGTTTGTCCCTGGCTCTGGTTGGGTTGTGCGGGTGACAGCCACTCGATGTGTCCCTTTCACATCGATGTTTCTCTCTCTCTTCCTCTCTCTCCCTCCCACTCTATGTGAACAACAAAAAAAAAAAAATGGAAAAAATGTGCTCTGGTGAGGATAAAAAAAAAGTTCCACTGTTCCTGGTCCCTTGATCTATTTTGTTTGTCAGTTTATTTTGTTCATTAGATTCCACATTTAAGTGAAACCATATGGTATCTGTCTTTCTCTGACTGGCTTATTTCACTTAGCAAAACACTCTCCAGGTCCTTCCAGGCTGTCTCGAAGGGTAGGAGAGCCTTTTCTACAGAGTTCCTGGTACTAATGCAGAGCCAGGATTTCCTCCTTCAGGTGACTGCCCTTTTTCTATGAAGAGTCCTGCCTGGCCCCGCAAAAGGGGTTGCAACTTAGTTGAATAAAACTCCTCCGGTATGAAGGGATGACTCTTTCTACAGGGCCTGGTCTGAAGAGCTGTGACTTGGTCCCCTGAGAGCGATGCAAGCCTGCCTGAGCCCACGGCTGGGCGGGCCTCCCGGCAGCACGGATGTCTCCGCGGTTTGCATCAAGCTGGCCTTCATATAGAGGGTGCTCTTTCCTCTCTGGGGCAATCCCAGAATCCAGGGAGAAGTGTTCATTCTCTGTCATTTTTGTGGTCTTGTGTTTTTTAATCTGGAAAAGACGATGCCCCCTTTCCTCGGGTTCTGCAGCACAGGGCGCTTGAGGTGGGAGCTGAAGGCTGAGGGTGTTAACCGGGCGCTGGGGTGTGGGTCCAGCCACCTTCGGGGCGTTGCTTCGAGGGTCACAGCTCTGCCTCGGCCCTGTAGGACTGAACAGAGCAGAGGCCTGGTGCACCTTGGTTTCTCTAGCCCTGCATTCTGTGCCTCCCTGTCACGTGTCTTTGCCTGGAATGTGGGTGACAGGGTCAGCAGCTGGGCAGGCTGCAGGGGCCCGCACAGCTCTCTGGGCTCCCAGCAGGGGACTCTAAGGAACGGCTCCTCTCCGGGACCTGGGTGGGCTCTAAGGTCACAAGGCCCTCTGGCTTAGAGCCTCTGCCCCTTGTCAGACACAGAAGTGCTCTCCAGAATCCGAGGGTGGGCCCAGCAGTCAGACCCTCCCACCCCTGTCCGTGGGCTTGACCTTCTCAGGTGGGTGGTTCTGCATGACGGTGGGCAGCTCTCCCAGACGAAGTTTCTCTTCGGGCTCCTCTCTCCCTGTAACTCGCCACATTGCATAAGGCACAGGGAGAGGACCCTGATGAGAAGGATGTTTTTCCTAATGAAATAGCTTCCAACCAGAATTTTCACACCCAAAACTGCCCACACACATAAGCAGTATTTCCATCACAGCCTTGAACCAGAGAGGGGTCGTTACAAAGTAGGTGGTTTAAGTGGAAATTGTTCCGCAAACAGGAAAGTGCTCCTCTGGCAGAGGGGACGGTGGGCAGGGCCGGGGGCACCTGGGAGGCTGCATGAAGAGGGCCACAGGGTGAGGGGCTGGCACCAGTGGGCGAGGGCAGGTCACGCAGGACTTTGGGTCAAGGGTAGAATTCTCTCTATTTTGCTAGATATTTAAACAGATGGGGAGGCGTGATTAATGTTTCCTAAATAGCCCACTGGCTGTCAGAGTGGAGGGAGTAAATGCTGATTGGAGATGTCTCTGGGGAGCTGAGGGGTTGTGGCCCTGGTGGCCTTGGTGAGGATGAGGGTGGGGGGGATGTAAGGGGTTTGAGGAAATGTTGGCGATGTATATGTAACATGCACAGGGCTCGGGGATGAATGGGCCGTGGGGGTTGATGACAGAGTGAAAGCCAGGCAGATACAGACAGAGCGCCTTACTGCAACAGGCAAAGGCCGTACCCCACCCGCAAGCCTGTTACCCATAAGGGGCCTTGCTTGGTGGGGGGTGTGCTCCACGGGCCTTGCTTGGTGGGAGGGTGCCCCACAGGCCTGGGCCTTGCTTGGTGGGATGTCAGCAAAGTGTGCAGCAGTGACTGCAGGCTCTTGCTGATTGTGTTCTACTGGGTCACAGATCAGCAGAGCAGGAAACCAATGTCTGTGATGATCTCTGTCTTTCCTCACTTTGGAATGTGGTGGCCATGCCTGTCATTAACGTTGGGGCTTTCTGAGGGCCTGGCTCTGGCGCCATCCCTTGTGGCTGCTGCCCTGAGAATGCTTCTTTCATGGGGTGGCCCTCTGTCTCCAAAGAGGAAGCGGGTTCCACCAAGTGCTTCGGGACAGGCTGGGAGGGCGGCCTCAGCTGGTGAGGCGGCTGTTCCCACGCTGGAGCGGTGTGCGAGCTGGGTCAGGCTGACTCCCCAGCCTTCCTAAGAGAAGCAGGTCTTCAGAGAAAGGGGGACGTCAGGCGTGGGTATATGTACACGTCCCGCTCTGTGCAGCAACTCTTGTCTAATTAGGTTTTATTAATCAGTCAACATGCAGTTGATGCGGTCAGCTCTAGGCCGAGGCTGCTCTGCATCATCTAAGGTAAAGGATTTTGTACAGCAGGCGACTGCGGCAGGCCAGCAGGGGACGGTTATGAAGGCACGGGGTGGGGTTCTGAGCTAGGGGCCAGTGGGCTCCTGTGGGCCGGCAGGGGCAGCTGGAGACCGGAGTGGGGGGTCTGGCGGACATGTCTCTTGCTCCTTCACAGAACTAAAATACCTAGAGTCTAGGATGCTTTTAAGCACATGAAAACTTTTAATCAGAATTTTCCGCATTAAGATGTACTTAATTATACAGATTCTTATCTAGTCCTGAAGGCCAGCCTGGTGGAGCCACGACTCAGCTCTTAAAGGAATAACCGCGTTTATCTTGACAACAGCTCCGGTTTAGCTGAGGGGCAGGAAGGGGCCTGGGCAAGGAGGGGACAGGGCCGGGAGCCCAGTGACCAGTAAGGCCAGTGTGCGGCAACGGGGGGCAGGCTGCCAGCTCAGGGTCACTGTGCGGAGGGGGCGGGGCTGCGAGCTCAGGGTCTCTGTGCAGAGGGGGCGGGGCTGCGATCTCAGGGTCTCCCCTACGGAGGGGGCGGGGCTTCGAGCTCAGGGTCTCCTTGCGGAGGGGGTGGGGCTGCGAGCTCAGGGTCTCCAGGCGGAGGGGGCGGGGCTGCGAGGGGCGGGGCTGCGATCTCAGGGTCTCCCCTACGGAGGGGGCGGGGCTGCGGAGAGGGCGGGGCTGCAAGCTCAGGGTCTCCAGGCGGAGGGGCCGCAGCTGGAAGTTCCAAGGCTGTCGCCAGGCAGATGCAGGGCAGTCTTTGCAGGCTGACAGGAGGTGAAGCTGGAAGGAGCCAGGCTGTCATACCCAAGGGGAGCAGAGCTGAGGAGGCCAGAGGCTCCTCCTGGAAGGCGCAGGTGAACGAACAGCGGATCCCTCAGCTGTGACTTGTGGGGAGCATGGGTGGGAGCTGGCCTGGGCGGCCCTGCTGTCAAACAGGAGGCTGGGCTGGCCTTGGCTGGCAGAGCCGGTGACTTGGTGGAGCTGAGTGGACATCTAGTGGCCGCCTGGGGGAACCTTACTCACTCTCGGCATCCTTTTTGAGTCCCACCTGCCGACCTGTGCTCATGGCAGAGCGATGGAGAGACGGGAGTGGAGGGTCCAGTCTCCCCTGGGGCAGCGGCCATCTCCTCCTCGTCTCCCCCTTCCATCTAGCCACTCCCAAAACAAAACCTCCCTGAGTTGGAGAATGGCTGGCAGGTAAACTCCAGCCCAGGTCACCTGTGACAGAGGAATGGCTCTGCTGATGCCTTTGGTGGCCTTCTGAGAAAAGACGTGGGCCACAGAGACTTTAACACAAGAACAGGACGACTCACAGGACAGCCAAAGGCTGTTCACTTCCCGAGGCCACTCAGGGCAGCGGGGGGAGGGGCTGTGGGCTAAGGGGGATGTGGGCAGCAGGGGAACCAGGAAGGCGGGGGAGGCAGGGGTGAGGGGTCTTGGGCTGGGTTTGGGGGTGGGGTTGTGAGAGGTACCAAGATGGAGAACGAGTTTTGAAGGTAACAGTTGGCAAGAATTGGTTGATGGATTGATTGATTCGATTCTGGGTGTGACAGTAGTCAGGGTGGGCTCCTAGAATCTTGGCCTTGGCAGCCAGGTGAGTGGCGGCTTCCTGTGCAGAGCTGAGGGGTTCTGGAGCAGAAATTGAGGTTTTTGCTTTGAATGTGTTCAGTGTGAGAAAGGCTTATGAGTGAGTCTGCAGCTGAGGGGAAAGGTCAGGCCAAAGAAAGTTGGGAGACACTGACTTGTGGGCTTAGAGGTGACAACCCAGGGGGACAGACTGAGAAGGAAGAGCTGGAGTGGAGTCGTGGAGTCCGGAGGAAAGTGTTCCTGGGACGCATTAGGCGAGGACAGGGCATCGGCCCCGGCCTGCGGCGGTGAGGACGGGGCATCGGCCGCGGCCTGCGGCGGTGAGGACGGGGCATCGGCCGCGGCCTGCGGCGGTGAGGACGGGCATCGGCCGCGGCCTGGGGCGGTGAGGACGGGGCAACGGCCGCGGCCTGCGGCGGTGAGGACGGGCATCGGCCGCGGCCTGCGGCAGCCCGGAGCGGGTCGTTACAGCTCAGGGGGACAGGACCTGAGCGGGACGGGTGGAGAGAATGGGAGGTGCAGCTGCGCAGACAACTCTTCAAGTTTTGTACAGTCGACAGCGGACGGGGCTTGTGGTATGGGAGGCGTGGGGTCCGGGAGGAGCTTGAGGTGGCTGTTGGGAAGGGAAGGTTTATCCCAGGGGGAATGCTCCAGAAGAGGGAGAAGAATTTCAAGAACGAAGTCCTTTGGTGAACAGGTATGAAGGAGTTAGCCTTACATGGAAACCAGACAGCTGGAGAAGCACCCGAGTGTGGGGGCGGCTGTGGGGGCGCGGGCTGGTGCTGGGAAGGTGAGGTGTGCGCTCTAAGAAGGAAGTGCGGCCCGTCAGCTGAGAGCTGGAGGGAGGAAGTGACAGGTCCCAGGGAAGAGGAGAGGGGGCCTCAGCCAATGAGACGTCATGGCAGAGCCCAGCGGGGAGCAGCCTGCCGAGGTCACCTTGGATTCTGAGAAGGGGCCTGACCCAGGCTGCGCACAGACCCTCCCTCCCCTGCTGTTCATGGAGAATCTGTCCCCTAGGCGCACAGTCCCCCGCGAGTGCAGCGAGGTTCTTGGATCTTAGTTTCCCCGCTTGCACCTGGAGGTGACACTTGAGTTCAGAGAAAGCAAGGCCCTTACGCAGGTGGAGTTGCCGCAGGAACGAAGCAGGGCCTGTTGGAGAGGGCACTGATGCCCAGGCGGACAAGGAGCCTGTGGCTCACACCACAGCGCAACCCCAGCCCCCCCCCCCCCCCCAGCCATTCGCTTCTCAGGTGGCCTTTGGAAGTGTGAGACCTAAGTTGTGGGGACTGACTGAGGTGTGACATGTGAAAGGAGATGACCAACGTCTATTAGCTCCAGTTCTGCTTTGACTGCTGTTTCTGCGACCATGTACCTAATTCCTGACTCTTCATTTCTCTTCCCAGAGAGTGAAAATCCTCAGGTGGCTGAGACTCTGGAGGGAAGGGTGTGGGCTCAGGTAGAAGCCAGCCCTGATCCTCTCAGTCTGTATGACCTGGGTCACTTGATTTAACCTTCCTCTGCTTAATGTTAGTTAACTCATCAGTAAAATGGGATCATAATCAGACTTCCTAGGATTGAGAAAATCCCTGCTGGGCCCACCCGACATTCAACAGATTTGAGTCAGCACGTATTTGAAAGTCTCCTGTGCGCCGGGCACTGTCCTGCACTTCATGGGGTCTGCACATTCTCGTGTGGAGGAAGACCGATAATAACCACAAGGGCCTGGCAGGGGATGGAGACTGGAGGGCAGGGGACGGCTCTATGTAGCAAGGTCTCTGGTGACATTTGAACAGAGACATGACAAGCCAAGTAGGTGTCTGAGTTGGTGGCTCTCACCTGCGAGAGTGCTTCTGGGCAACATGTGTTTGGAACGTGGAGGCAAGCCTGGCATTTGGGTAGTTTCTTGGAGGCTAAGAAAGTTCTCTTGGCACTGCCTTCAGCCTCTCTCTCTGCTTCCTTCCCAGGGTTTAACTCCCTCGTGGGAGGCGTGATGGGCTTCTCTATCCTTCTGAGCGCGGAGGTGTTCAAGCATAACTCGGCGGTCTGGTACCTGGACGGCAGCACAGGTGTGCTGATCGGCCTTATCATATTCGCCTATGGGGTCAAGTAAGTGCCTGTTTTCCTCTTTGCTTTCCTGGCAGCCAAGAGTGTTCCACTTTCCACCCCCAGTGGTCACACCTTGTACCTGTGACCCTCCTGAGCCTGAGTGGGGTCACATGACTGAAAAAGCTCCCATCAGATATTTTTGTGGCTGGCACAGAAGGGAGGCAGGGACTGTGACAAGGGGCATAGGCTTTAAGTCACAAAGGGGCACCAGTGCTGGGCTGAGGAGTCCCCATAACATCTGGCTGTGAAAACCAGTGGGGCTCACAGCTGGTGAAACAGGGCTACCGGGGCCTCAAGCATTCCTCCTGAGGGGCCTGCGCATGGACTTGCTCACTCAGACTCATTTGTCTGTGCTCCAGTGCCAGGGACATCCAGGGAGGAGCTGAGTGGACTGGGCTCAGGGCATCTCTCTCCAGGGATGGAAGTGCTGGCAGGCACAGTTTTGTTGCTGAGCCCTGCCCCCACTCAGCCGTCGGGCACAGGTGGGTGCCAAATCCAAGCTGTCCATTTGCCCCACTCAACTTGCATTTCCAGCCCGAGTGCTTCTGGTGGATTTTCCACACTAGTGGCCAGCGCTGGCTCACACTGTGGACTTTCCTAAAACCTCTCAAAGTTCCACAAACCCCAGACAAGCAGCAGCTGGCCTTGGCATGCCTGGCGCAGGTGGTGACAGATCTCAGCTCACACTGTAATTCCCATCAGGGGGCCCCAAGCCCAACATAAACCTTTGCCAGTGTTGACTTGGAACAGAGCTTCAACTAAATGGCCACATGCCTGGCATCAGCACACATTGTGGTGGCCGCCAGAGGGTCCCAAGCCTGGGACAAGTGGTAACCAGCCTGATTCACAGCATACCCCCTTCCAAGTACCTCCAAGCCCAGCACAAGTGACAACCAACCACAAATGACTTTGTAGCTCCCACCAGGTGGCCCCAAGCCTGCACAGGAGTCCCTCCTAACAGGCTCCAGAACCAGTACACCTGTGGCCAGCTTTAGACCACATCAGCGCACCAGCTCCACAAATGACCCATCTGAAGGATGGATGCAACAAAGCCCTATGAAAGTGACTCCCACATCGTGGTTAGTCCCTGCACTATAGCTTGTCCACTATAGTCATGGACAGCTGGGCAGCCTGAGTGTTAATCCCACCCACTGATGTGCCAACAAGCAGTCAAGGCTCAATTACATAGGAGGGCATACAACCCACATGAGGGACATCCCTAGAGCACCTTGCTCAGGTGAGCAGGGAGACTGTGCTACTGTGCCCTGCAAGACGCTATGCAAGGCTGTGCCACCTAATACATAGGAGCAAACATAGGCAAGCAAAATGTGGAGACAAAGAAACATGCCCCAAATAAAAGAACAGGAGAAAACTCCAGAAAAAAAATTGAACAAAATGGAAACAAGTAATCTACTAGATACAGAGTTCAAAACACTGAAGACTGAATTAGTGATCTAGAAGACAAGGTAGTGGGAAACAATTGAAACAGCAAAAAGAAAGGATAGTTTAAGGGATAACATCAAGAATAACAACCTTTGCATCACAGGTTACCAGAAGGAGAAGAGAGAGCAAGGGATCGAAAACTTCCTAATCTGGCAAAGGAAATAGACACACAAGGCCAGGGAGCACAGAAAGTCCTAAAAAAGGTGAACCAAAAGAGGCCCACACCAAGACACATCATAATTAAAAAGCCAAAGGTGCCAGAGAAAAGCAGTTAGTTACTTACAAGGGAGCTCCCATAAGACTGACAGACAATTTCTCAACAGAAACTTTGCAGGCCAGAAGGGGGTGGCACAAATATTACAAGTCATGAAATGCAAGGACCTACCACAAATGTTACTTTATATCATTTAGAATTAAAGCAGAGTTAATGAATTTCCAAGACAAGAAAAAGCTAAAGGAGTTCATCACCACTAAACCAGTATTACAAGAAATGTTGAAGGGACTTCTTTAAGTAGAAAGCTAAAATTCCCACTAACAAAGGGAAACATTTAGTATAAGCAGTTGATCAACCAACTAATAAAGATAATTAAAGATTAAAAGGCACAAGTAGGAAGATCATGTGTAATTACAACAGTACATTAAGGGATACACACAAGAAGTAGAAAATAATGACAAAACCATTAATGTTGGGAGGAAAGTAAAATTGCAGTGATTTTAGAATGTAATCGAATGCTATAAACATAGCTTGGCTATATAAAGCATATGGTAACCACAAACCAAAAGCTATGTGTGATATAGAGCATATACAGAAAGGAATCCAAAAACAATAGAAATTTATCAATACACAAGAGCAATGGAATAAGAAAGGAAGAGAGAAGCACTGCAAAAACAATCAAAACAATAAAATGGCAATAACTATATACCTATCAATTATTTTAAATGTTAATGGACTATATGCTCCAATCAAAACATAGGGTAGTTGAATGGGCAAAAAACAAGACATACATACATATATATATATACACACACACACATACATACACACACACACACATACTGCCTACAAGAGACTCACTTCAGTTTGGAAGACACAAGTTGAAAGTAAAGGAATAGACAAAGTTCAGTCCCAGCTGGTTTGGTTCAGCGGTTAGAGTGTTGGCTCACGAACCAGAGAGTCCCAGGTTCGGTTCCTGCTAAGGGCACGTACCTTGGTTGCAGTTTGTCCCCGGCCCCATTTGGGGTCGTGTGTGTGGCAACCAGTTGATGTGTCTCTCTCACATTGATGTCTCTCTCTCTCTCTTCCTCCCTCTCTCCCTCCCACTCTATCTGAAAATAAAAACATAAAAATGTCCTCAGTTGAGGAGAAAAAGAAGGGCATTTCATAATGTAAAAGGACCAATCCAACAACAGGATCTACCTCTCGCAGACATCTACACAACTAACATAAGACCACCTAAATATGTAAAGCAAATTGATGGATATAAAGGATGAGATTGACAGTAATACAGTCATAGTAGAGGACTTGAACACTCCATTGACATCAATGAATACACCATAGAGACAGAAAATTAACAAGGAAACAGTGGCCTTCAATGGCACTTAAATGGACTTAATTGATATTTTTAGGACATTTACCCCAAAGCAGCAGAATATACATTCTTTTCAAGCACACATAGAATATTTTCCAGGATAGACATGTTAGGCCACAAAACAAGTCTCAATAAATTTAAGGTGATTGAAATCATACCAAACATCTTCACCAATCACTATGCTATGAAACTAGAAATCAGTTACAAGAAGGAAACTGAAAAGCACACACACGTGGAACCTAACTAACATGCTTAATAACAATAAATGGGTTAAGAGTGAGATCAAGAAAGAAACCCAAAGATACCTCGAGACAAATGAAAATGAAAACACAATGACCCAAAATCTATGGGACACAGCCAAAGCACTTCTAAGGGGGAAATTTATAGCAGTATAAGTCTACCTCAAGAAACTAGAAAACCTCAAATGATCTTACTTTCCACTTAAAGGAACTAGAAAAAGAAGAACAAACAAAGGCTAAAGTGAGTAGAAGGAAGGAAATAATAAAGATCAGAGTGGAAATAAATGAAATAGACTCTAACAACAATAAAAAAGATCAGTGAAACCAAGAGCTGGTCCTTTGAAAAGACAGGCAAAATTGATAAACCTTTAGTCAGAATCATCAAGAAGAGAGGGGGCCGAAGTATATAAAATCTGATGTGAAAGAGAAGGGGCAAGTGACACCACAAATGTACAAAGGATTATAAGAAAATGATGCAAACAATTTTATGCCAACAAATTGGACTAACTGGAATAAATGATAAATTCCTACAATAATACAAGAAACAAAATCTGAACAGACCAATAATTGCTAATGAAATCAAATCAGTAACCGAAAGACCTCCAACAAATAAAAGTCCTGGACCAGCCCTGGCCGGTTTGGCTCAGCGGTTAGAGTGCCCGCCTGAGGTCCAGAGAGACCCGGGTTCGGTTCCCGCTAAGGGCATGTACCTTGGTTGCAGTTTGTCCCCGGCCCTGGTTGGTCATGCGGGTGGCAGCCACTCGATGTGTCCCTTTCACATCGATGTTTCTCTCTCTCTCTCTCCCTCTCTCTCCCTCCCACTCTGTACAAAAAATGGAAAAATGTCCTCGGGTGAGGATAAAAAAAAAAAAAAAGTCCTGGACCAAATGGCTTCACAGGTAAATTTTATCAAACATTCAGAGAAGAATTAACACCTGTCCTTAAATTATTACAAACATCTGAAGAGGTAGGGAAGCTCCCAAACTCATTTTACAATAGACATTACCCTGATACCAAAACCAGACAAAGACACAACAAAGAAAATTATAGGCCAATATCCCTGATGAACATAGATGTAAAAATCCCCAACAAAGTATTAGCAGACCAAATTCAGCAATACATTAAAGAGGTCACACACCATGATCAAGTGGGGTTTATTTTTGTGATGCAAGGTTGCTTCAATATCTGCAAATCAGTTAACATGATACACCACATAAACTAAAGGATAAAAATCATATCAATACATGAAGAAACAGCATTTGACAAAATCCAGCATCCATTTATGATAAAAACTCTCAGCAAAGTAGAAATAGAGGGAGTATACCTCAGCATGTAAAGGCCATATATGACAAGCAGCTAACATCATACTTGATGAAAAGCTGAAAGCTTTGTCTTTAAGATCAGGAAGAGATGAGGATGTCCACTTTCACCACTTTTATTCAACATCAGACAAGAAAAAGAAAAGGCATCCAAAACTGGAAAGTAACGAGTAAAACTGTCATTCTTTGCAAATGACACACTATATATAGAAAACCTTGAAGATTTCACATAAAGAAAACTATTAGAACTAATAAATTCAGTCAAGTAGCAGGATACAAAATTAATATTCAGAAATCAGTTGCATTTTTATATACCAATAATGAACTATCAGAAAGAGAAGTGAAGAAAACAATCCTATTTAAAGTGGCATTAAAAAGAATACCTAGGCCCACCCGGTGTGTCTCAGGGGTTGAAAATCAACCCATGCACCAAGAGGTCGCTGGTTCGATTCCTGGTCAGGGCACATGCCCAGGTTGTGGGCCCAATCCCCAGTGGGGGGCATGCAGGAGGCGGCCAGTCAATGTTCTCTCTCATCAATGTTTCTATCTCTCTCTCCCTCCATTTCTCTCTGAAATCAATAAAGAAAAAAACAAAACAAAAACAACCTAGGAATAAATTTAACCAAGGAGGTAAAAATACCTGTACTTGGGAAACAATAAGACACTGAAGAAAGAAACTGAAGATACAAATAAATGGAAGGCTACATTGTGCTCGTGGACTGGAGAATAAACACAGTTAACATGTCCATACTCCCAAGCAAGCTACAGAGTCAGTGCAATCCCTTTGAAAATACTAATGGCATTTTCACAGAACTAGAACAAATTACATGGAACCACAAAGAGCTCCAAATAGCCAAAGTATTCTTGAGAAAGGACAAAGTTGGAAGTTTATCATGCTCCCTGACATCAAACTATACTACAAGGCAAGAATAATCAAACCAGCATGGTACTGGCATAAAAATAGATACATAGATCAATGAGACACGATAGAGAGACCAGAGATAAACTCACATCTATATCATCAATCTATGACAGAGAAGGCAAGAATATACAATAGGCTAAAGATAGTCTCCTTAATAAATGCTGTTGGGAGAGAGACACGTGCAAAAGAATGAAACTCGACCACTTTCTTATACCATATACAAAAATAAACTGAAAATGGATTAAAGACTTAATTATAAGACCTGAAATCATAAAGCTCCTAGAAGAAAACATAGGCAGTAAACTCTCTGACATCACTCTTAGTAATATTTTTCTGGATCTGTCTCCTCCTGCAAGGGAAACAGAAGAATAAATAAATGGGACTATATCCGACTAAGAATTTTTTGCATAGTGAAGGAACCCATTAACAGAAGACAACCTACATTGCATGGGAGAAGATATGCACCAATAATATATCCCATAAGTGGGTAATTTCCAAAATATATAAGGAAATTATATAACTTAACACCCAACCAAACCAAACAAAAATCCAGACCCCCTAACAATCTGATAAAAAAAATGGACAGAGGACCTGGATAGACATTTCTCGGAAGAGGACATACAGATGGCCAACATACATATGAAAAGATGCTCAGCATCACTAATCAGCAGAGAAATGCAAATTAAAGCCAGCGTGCAATATCACCCCACACCTGCCAGAATGGCCACAGTCAGTAAATCCGACAAGTGATGGTAAGGATGTGGAGAAAAGGGAACCCTCGTGCACTGTTGGTGGGATTGTAAGTTGGTGCAGCCACTGTGGAAAATGGTATGGAGGTTCCTCAAAAAATTAGAAACAGAACTACCCCTACAATCCATAAATCCCATTCTGAGTATTTGTCCTGAGCAATCCAGAACACTGATTCCAAAAGATCTAGGCGGCATTGTTCACAATCACCAAGATATGGAGGCAACCTGAGTGTCCACGGAGAGCCGAGTGCTGAGGACGGTGGGGTGGGCACCCACGTGGACGTGGCTCCACCCTCACAAGCACGAACGCGCACTCGCGCAGTGTGGAGGGGCCTAGAGGGTATTACGCTAAGTGAGATGAGTCGGGAGACAACACCCTCTGATTTCACTTATACTTGGAATCTAAAAACAAACATACGAACAAACAAAACAAATAGACATTATAGTTTACACTTTAAACAATTAGGTGAAAAGAATGGGTACATGTCTACTTTTATAATTGTTTTCTTAGTTGGGGAAAAGATATTGTTTGGGGAGGGGAAAAGGGTGTTGCTAGTGGGTTTGTTTCTGGGGTGAGGGAATGTTCTAGAACGAAGGTGGTGGAGGTGGGACAATCTGTGCGTACACTGAAAACCACCGAAGCATACACTTGAAAAGGCTGTTTTATGGTGTGAATTATGTTTTTAAGAAAATCGCCCTCAGCCCGCTCCCCCGAGTGCGCCAGCGCGGGTGCGGGGTTGGGCTGACCTGTCTCTGCCTGCAGACTCCTCATCGACATGGTGCCCAGGGTGAGGCAGACGCGCCACTACGAGATGTTTGAGTGAAGGGCCGGCCAGTTCCACGAGGACCCCAGGGAGGCCTCCCCACGGGCCGCCGGCGCCAGTGTCTCAGCGACACGCACTGTCTTAGTGGGAAAGCCCGTGTCCATGGGGACAGGTCTGCCCAGCAGGTCGGTCCGCACTGCTCCCCGGCTCCACTGCCCCCGTCACCCCGATACGGCCACGTGCACCGGAGGGGCTGGTCTCCCCACTGCCGCGGGAGCTGACCTCTCCTTCCTGGAGGAAGGGGGTTCTTGTGGGCAGGTAAGATCTCTGCTCGGCAGACCGCCTCCCGCCCAGCACCTGCCGGAACCAGCTCCTCTGGGCTCTGCCGGGCTCCCGCCTCGCAGTCCAGTCTCCGGGCAGAACGGGAGACCGTGCGTCCCTTTGTCCCTCCCCGCCCACGCCCAGACCATCAGTATATCGCACTTCCTAATTTCTATCAACGTACTTCATTAGTTTCATACTGTTTTACTAACCCCCAATCTACACGGATGCGTTCAAAAGGAGACCATTCTATTTTTAAAGTCCTTAGTGATACATGTATGAGCTTTGCATGGACAAACTAAGCACATGACCCTTTCTTGTACATTCAGAACCTGAACATACAGGTAAAAACAGGATCCATTTTTGACAGATGTGAAACTACCATTTATTTGTAATAAATAATTATATAACCTACCACATGTGCACATGTCTGTATGCTCAGTGCTGAGGGTACGTTAGTCTGTTCGAGCGGCTGCTTCCTCTGTAAGGAACAAGGTGTCTTCAGTTTGTCATGTTAGGTGTCGGGTCTGTAAAAATGGTCCCCCCACAGCAGTCTGTACCTCCAGTACCGCTGCCTGTGCAGGCAACAGTGGCTGAGCAATAAAGACCTTGCCGTTTCCTGTGGCACGGGACAGGTTTGCCGTTGTGGCTGAAGGCAGCGTGGCAGGGTCACTTGCTCCTGGGGGAGTGGTGTGAGTGGAGACCCTGCAGGACTTGTGATGGGCTTTGTGGCCTCTCTGTGGCAGGCCCACCCACCGCTCAGGTGAGGAGGGTGGCCATGCATTCAGGCCCTTGGCGCTGACCTTGGCTGTTGCCCAGATTCCCGCCCCCCATCTCCCACCAGCCGCCCCCCCGTCTCCTGTGCCCCCCCCACCTCCTGTGCCCCATCTCCCACCAGCTGCCCCCCCTCCTGTGCCCCATCTCCCACCAGCTCCCCCCCGTCTCCTGTGCCCCATCTCCCACCAGCTGCCCCCCATCTCCCACCAGCTGCCCCCCCTCCTGTGCCCCATCTCCCACCAGCTGCCCCCCCTCCTGTGCCCCATCTCCCACCAGCTGCCCCAGGCTGGTTAAGGAAAGGTGGTTGGGTCTAAGGCACTGACCTTGGCCCAACCTGACGCCGTCGGCGTGGCTTCCTGCAGCAGCACTTTGCAGAGCACTGTAGCGCGGTAACATGCTACACGGACGGCTGTTCAAACAGGTCTGGGAAATGCAAGATCCAGTAGGTGTCTTCTCTGAAGGTTTTCTGTATCTTTACTATCTAGTATGTAGCCTCCCCTGAACTTACCCACTCACGGTTTCTCGGCACCTTTCTGGATCGGTGCACACGGAACGTGTGCTGTCCCTGTTCTGGGCGGAGCGAGAGCAGCTGTGCCTTCCTCCGGCATCGCCTACAGCATGGATTTAACCTTCCTTTTTCCAGGGCATGGACATAACCAAATGCCTTTTCAGGACTATTTTATGATGTAGTACAGTTATCTCAAAAGAAAATAGCCTACCCATCCACTTTGATTCCTTCCCTTGCAGGTGGACACTGCAGGTGGTGGTGGTGGGCGTGGTGGGGGAAGGGCACGCGCACAGAAACCCTCCCCTCAGCCTTTCCAGCAGTTTGCAGACGCTGAAATGCAGGTGGTGGGCGCCAGCGCAGGGGTGTTCTGCAGGTGACCCTGCGCCCACCTAGACCCCCAAAGATCACTCCCACCTGTCACACAAGAAAAGTTTATTGAAAAATAAAGTTCTCCCTAGTTTTGTCTACAACAGTGGAAAACAAAGCTGTTCTCTATGCCGGTACAGTACATGTGGACAGGGACGCTCACTTGCAAAATCCTGGGCTACGTAACCCCAGCATGAACCAGGAGCTGTTTGAAGACACAGTTGTGAATGGTCATTAGCTTGAAGACATCAAGGCTGTGACAGCAGAAAGGACGTCACCATCTCCTTTGGCAATGACGGTCCCGCTGTTGTCCACGTAACACCTGGGCAGGACAGTGAGCGCTTCCCGTTTGCTCGTCTCCCCTTTGGCAAAGGCGCCGACTGCACCAGGTCCCCATCCTGCCCTCAGCCAGGCATCCCGCCCTCCAGCAGGGCTCTGCCAGCCCGGAACCCCTCCCCCTTCCTCCAGACACCTGCTCACCCAGGAGCACCCCTGGCTGTCGGCCTCTCTGCCACACGGGGGCTGGGGGAAATCTCGAGGCGCCACAAAATCGAGGATAGAGGGAATGATGCTATGAAGAAGGTAAACCCCAGTCCTGTACCCACAGACATCTCATCTGCTGATCCAGCCAGAGAAAACAGAGGAGCTTACAGACACGGGCTCCAGCGGATCCGCACTGCGGTGCGGTCTGTCCGGAGGGCTGAGCCGGGCAGGAGGTGCGGCGCAAATCCCTCGGGGAGTAGGGGCCTAAAACCCCATAAAACAAAAAGTGAGCTAACACTTAGGTGATTTGGGGGAAAAATCAGTGAACCATGAGCAGCCTCTGGGAGTCCCCACCCTGCCCAATGGCTCCCCAGGGATGGTGGGATAGTCTTGGGTCCCCAGGCCAGCTGCAGTGGCCCGGGGCCAGTGCAAAGAGGTGACAGCTAACCAGCCCAGGCGTCTCGTCCCTGTGGACTGGACTACGAGGGTCAGCAAAGGGACCTCCTGGGGAATGGTAAGTGTAATTGGTCATTTCTTTCCCCTTGAGAAAAGAAAAGCCTGCCTCTCTTCCTGAGTTTCAAGGGAACCCAATTAACTTTCAGGAGGCAGTCAACGAGAGCATTCCCCTTAATTTCTAGCTCAAAAAGTTCCACAAGGGAACACTCTGGAATGGTCCAGGAGACATCCATGCGGTGAGGTCCAGCATGGGGCCAAAGGTCACCCTTGTCATCTCCCAGGTACAAATCTTGCAGCCTAATTTCATCTGGGGCTGAAGTCGGGCATATTTTCAAACCAGTCAGTGCATTCGGGCCGGTGCCGTCTCCCCGGCAGGGTGGGCGCGGACTTGGACGTGCTCAGCGGTAAGTCCCACCGCACTCCCTCCACCTGGAACAAGAGTCTTACGTACCTATGACCTTTGAATCAACTGATAAGGAGTGAGCTCAGCTCTTTATTTCTCAAGTTTTGTAAAATGCTGATAAGAACAACAATATTTAACATTTACGAGGGCTTCCTACGTGCCAGACACCGCTGAACACTGAATCCTCACGAAGCCCCATGTGCTAAAAGAGCTAGGGTTTTTTTTTGTTTGTTTTTTTGTGTGTTTTTTTTTTGCATCTGAGACTCTACAGCTAGTTTGGCCTTTTGCTATAAAAACCTGGTTCCCCACTGTTTGTTGAAGCCAACAAGAACGAAAGGAACTCGCCCTCAGCTTTAGGGAAGTCCCACCTTCCTAGAGGTCAGCCTATGGCACCTGGCTCTCCGCGTGATCCACAGTCCGACAGGGATGGATGGGACTGGAATGAAGCCAATGTGGACACTAAAGTATTTTTAAATAAATAAAACAATCCAGGCGTGGGGTAGTTGTCACACATACAACAGAGCCTGTCGTTAACAAAATAGACTTTTTAAAAAAGAAATCATGGATTTTAGGGGCATGGAAGGGGGTGGTAATGTCCCAATTACGCACACAGTCCAGGGAAGCCACCCTGGAGAAATGGGGTAGCTGCCTGGGTCTGGTCTACAAAGCACAAACCCACCTAGGAGCAGCACAGTTTGTCCACTGGTCACATTTACGCCTTCCGGCCAGTGAGATGCCCGGGGGCTCTCCTCCCACATGAAACCAAGTAGTCACATTTCTCAAACCCTGTGTTCACTCAGGAAACGAAGGACGGGCACACCCCTCCCCTTCATGACTCGACCAGATAAGGTGTTCGGGGGCCAGCGCCACTGATGAGCTCAGTGGGTCCCGCTCCCCTTCAGCAGCCCCCAGCTAGGCGGCCGGCGGCCCTGGCACACCTCACAGGCACACGCGCAGCACACGGCCCGGGGCAACCAGCGGTCCTCCGGCCCAAAGATGTGACCAAGCCGCTGGGCAGGTGGAGGCTGGTCTGGGGGAAGCCAGCACTTCTCTTGGGGTTCTCACTGCTTCATGGGGGGTGTATGTGCATAATCCGTGCTGGCTTGGGGGCTTGAAGGGCATTTCTGGTGCCCACTGAGCACCCCCAGGGATGCAAGCCAGGTCCTGTCTCCACGCTAGAGGGGTCTGCTCTCCTCCATCAGCACCCGGATTCCAACCCCAAAGAACACCGGAGAGGGACCTCAGGGGAACAATAAATATCAAAGAAACAGACTCTCGATGTTTCCAAACGTACAGCAAACACAAAAGAGCAAACCAGAGGCAGTGACAAAATCCCAGTCAAAGCAAAAATGCAAGAAACCGCTCCACTCGCTCATGTGCAAATCAAATTACCTGCGAACGAACAGGGCTCCCTGGCGCGAAGAGGCGTTTCCGTGAGCAGCTTTCGCTCCGCAGTGTCTAGTAGCGGAGGAAGGCTTTCTCTCTCTCAATAAATTACACGAATGTTCTCCCTCAAGCTTTTTAAGAACTTAAGATCGCGGGGGGGGGGGGGGGGGGCGTCAAATGTCACTTAGGAAAAAATGTACAAAAACGTCCAGACTGGGCGAGATACGCCCGTAGCACAGGATGCCCCTGCGAGCGGCTGTGTCTCAGAGACAGGTTGGTTTAGGATTCACCCGGGGCCCCCGCTGGAAGGTGCCTTCCTCCCAGGGCCCTGTCCACGCTGGGCCCTCCCGTGCCCCGGGGACCGCTGCCCCAGGCCCGGAGCAGCAGCGCCCCTGGCGGGACTCCGCCGCACTTCAGCCAACCGCGGACTGGGGAAGCCAGAGGCCCGAACTGGGGCAAGTGATGCCCCGCTGGACACCTGACCTGAGGGTCCTGACACAGAAGTGGGAAAGTGGGGAGGCCCTGAGCTCGGGCAGCCAGCAAACAATCCCTGCAGCGTCTGGAGCACAAGGCAGGGCAGCGTCTTTCCCCAGAAGGCAGCTTTCCAGCCGCCTTGCTTGGAGTTCCTGCGCCTGTTTCAACAGCTCTGCAAACGGGTTAACCTTGCTGAGAGTGGGAAATTGGGCTCGACCCGCAGGCTCCCCCTGCTGGTCGAATGCCTGCGTTGACATCCTCACCATTGGAAGTTCCCCGAAGAGCCCAGGAGAGGGCAGCACTGGCCCGGGAATTGCAGGCCTGGGCGCTCAAGCCAATTTCCACAATTTAGGGTGCAGCCAAGAGGCCCATTCACAGGGAAAAGCAATTCCTAACAGCGCGGAAGGCAGTTGCTTCTCCTCCTACTCCAGGAACTGCCCTTGCAAACCTTGGGAGACCACATACGCCGCACTAGCTTGCTCACTCACACCCCATTACCAAGGTTGCCTTTGGACCTGCGCCCTTGCTGCTGGGCCCAGGCTTCCCGTCAGCACTCTTCCTGGCTCGTGTTCAGGGGCCACCTGAGGGGGAGAGCCGGCCGCCCCTCCTTACCCTCTCCTTCCTCGAGGACTGGCGGTGGGATTCAGACCCGCCACAGCCCGAGTGAAGGCTGACTGCACCTGGTGATGCTGGTGCACTAGGGAAGGAGGAAGAGCAGGCAGAACCTGCCTCCCACACCCAGACTCCGCTGCCTCTGGTCCCCAGGAAACAGACCCTTCCTGCAGTCTCACTTCTCAAAGGCCACCAGGGCTGGGCCCGCTGCCCAAGGCCACGCAGGTGTGGCCGCCAGGGAGGCCAGAGCCCCCAAGGCACTCAAACCCCGAGGGCGGGGTGGGCCACCCTGCTCATAGCGGGGATTCTCTGCGAGGCAGGAGAGGGCTCACTCCCACCAGCAGCGATGCCAGGGCTTCCCAGGTAACATTCCTACAGCCAAAGCACTAAGACCGTGCCCAGTGGGGGTGGAAACCCACCCAAGGCAGAGAACAGGCGCTCCAGGTTGGACACGGGGGTCCAGTGAGTCTGACCAGGCTCAGCTGCCAAGTGGCTCACCCCCCGCCCAGAACACTGGTGCCTGGACTGAACGCCACCGCCACCCCACTCCCACAGGCGAGGGGCCACGGCAGCGAGTCACTTCATCCTGGCCCACCCTGCTACCCGGCCAACGTCCAGCTCACCGAGAGCCCCCTTCCCTGCACTAGTGACGCTGGACATAGAGGGGATGACCACCAGCCCGGCCGTCTGGAGCCCAGCTCCGGTGGTTCACGGGCCGGCTTCACTCCTGTCCAGTCCCAGCTCAGACAGTCCTCTTCGGGGTGAGCATCACGACCAAGTGCGAGAGCAGCTTCCCGCCCCGCCTTCCGGGATTTGCCACCCACCACCGGATGTCACGTGCCCAGTCTTGCACCTTCTCTCCCTGGCTGGCTTGTCCCCCACAGCCTGGGGGAGCCCGCCCCGTAGATGCCACCCCTCAAGCACGTGCACAGGGTTTTCTTCTCTTCTGCCACGGTCCGCCTGGAGTCAGGTGCCACCAGCCCCACCCCCGTCTCTCCCGCCTGCGTCCGCCCGAAGCAGAGAAAATGTCATCGTGAAGGTGGATGGTAAACAGTGGAAAATCAAAAGAACAAGACCTGTGATCAATCCCTCGTTGCCCTCTCCCGACCCCCTCCCGCCCTCCCAAATAAATAAGTTAATGGATTTAGGAATGTTCCCATACGAAGTTCTCTCCAACCAGCTCGATTCCTCCTCTGGTTTGGTTTTGTTCTGAATGAATCTTGAGATGCGTGCTCTGCCCGGAGCAGCTGCACGGACAGTCCTCCCGATAGTCACTCCTCAAAGAGGAACCAAGGTTGTGCCGGGGAGGAAAGTCAGGCCCCGGCCTGACGCCTGCTCTCGTGTTTTGGGCAAAAGCTCCGCGGTGATGCTCTGACCACAGGAGGAGCGATGCCAAATCGAAACCTTCCACCAAAAGTTCAGGCTCTGGTGCGAGTCCCTGAATGGCGTGGGCCCCTGGCTCTGCCAGGACGGGCTGGAACCACTGCCTCCCGGCAGAGTGCGCGCAGGGCCAGGCCAGCGGCCCCTATAGACAGTCCTTGCAGAGAGCCACCTGGCCCTTGAGGAAGTCCCGGCAGGGGCAGACCCGGTGGTGCCGCGGGTGGGCACCCGCACAGCTGAACAGCAGGAGGTCACCTTGAAACACACAGTGCTTGCTCTTGGGGTCGAAGGAGGGCACCAGGATGTCCTTGGCCAGCTCTGAGCTCTGGCAGACCACCTCGTACCTGAAGAGGAAGAGAAAGGCACAAGGGTTGGAGATGCAGGGACCGTCCTCATCACTGAGGTGGGCGGAGCAGGTCCGGCAGCCGCCCTGACCCAGGGGTGGGGGCCAGAGAAGGTGTGTGCCTGGCGGGCGGGCGGTGTGTTCAGGATGCTCGGTGAAGCTTGTCTGTCAGAGAGAAACGAAGTCACCCAAGCACCACACGGGGAACGGTTACATCAACACGGCACACGTGTGCTTTCGGGGTCCCGAGCAGCCCCTGAAAAAGAATGAGGTGGATGCAAGCAGGAGCTCGGGGAGCCGCCCTGGAGGCGGTACCAGAACCACATGCAGAGTGGTCAACCTGTGTGTGTGCGTGCGAGTGTGCGGGAGAGCGTGAGTGTGCAAGGAGGCAGGTAACAACGGGACATGCAGCGTGGTCAACCTGTGTGTGCGTGCGGGAGTGTGGGAGAGTGTGGGAGTGTGTAAGGAGGCAGGTAACGGGATGTGCAGCATGATCAACCCGTGTGTGTGTGTGTGTGCGCGCGCGTGCGGGAGTGTGTAAGGAGGCAGGTAACACCGGGACGTGCAGCGTGGTCAGCCCGTGTGTATGTGTGAGTGTGTAAGGAGGCAGGTAACACCGGGACGTGCAGCGTGGTCAACCTGTGTGTGTGTGCAAGAGTGGGTGAGTGTGTGTGTGTAAACGTGTGTGGGGGCGTGTCTAAAAGCCAAGAAGGCTGCACACTAACCCTCAACGATGATTACTTCTTGGAGTAAGACTGGGGCAAAGTATTTAAGTATTTTTTACAACTACGTCTGATGTGTTTATCGGCGGCTTGCTGTCCCTGCTGTACGGCCTTGGGCTCCCACTGCAGAGCAACCGGATGGTCTCCTGGGAGGTGCTGACCTGGGGCATGATTCCTGGGTCCTAGCAGCCATGGCAACAGCCCCCCCCCCCTGCCCCAGCCCCAGCCCCAGGCTTCAGGCACAGAGCAGGATCCGGGGCCCAGCCTCAGGCCTGTGTTCTTCGCTCCGCCATCCCCTGACCGCTGACCTGTCCGCGGGTGGTGACCCGCGTCTGCCTCCAAGCGGGGCAGCGGCCTGGGGGCCGAGGGTACCCAGTATTCCTGTTCACGACACTGTTGGCCTCTTATCTCAAAGAAGGGCCACTCGTCTTCTCCCCCAGCTTGGGGTACATCAGTGCACCCACCTTGACTCCCCCAGAACAAGGAGGCCTCAACAGATGTCTAGCCTGGTGCCCCACATGCCAGGGGGACCAGTTCAGAGCGGAAGGTGCAGGGGGGCCGGGCAGACCTGGATTTGAGTCCTGGTTCACCTGGGGCCCTGGACAAACGACAGCCTCTCTGCGGTTCAGTTTCCTCTCTGGTGAACTGGGGTGCATGGCCCTTAGTGGGGGGCACTTACAGAGCACAGGGCAGAGTCTAGCTCTGGGTAAGATGCACTAAGTGGTCACCGTGTCAAACCACCACCGTCATCGTGGTCACCCTGCCCGGCAGACGCCAGATGGGCTGGGCCACCTTCCTCCTCCCTCAGCGTGACCTGACACGGTCCCAACGTCCCCTCTCCCTTGTTTGCAGCCGCGACTCCTGCTGCCAGGCGGTCCTGCTGGGGAACCCGAGGCTCCCTGCTGCCCCGAAGAGCGTCCAGAGCCCCTGTCCCGGGGTCCCTGTGACTTGTCTCCCCCCGGCCCTGGGCCCTTGCTAATCGGGAGATTCCAGTACACCTGGCGAGGGTGCCGGCGGCTCTCCGGGCTCAGCCCGGCGCCGGTGCTCAGGAGGGCAGCACCCCCTTTACCTCGCTCCTGCAGGGCCAGAGGGCCCCCCGACTCCTTGAGATGCCCTGTCACCGCCTGGCTGGGAGCTGAGACGCACAGAGGGCTAAGGTCCTGGGCCAGGAAGGCGACAGCAGGAAGTGGGGGTTTCACGGATGTCCTAAAGGACCATGACTCAGAGGTTCGGGGCTCCCACATCCTGCGCCGGATACCCTACTGGCCAGCCCCCAGAAGGGGTCTCAGGAGCTCCGCTGTGCGTGCCCCATGTGCACTGTGGTTCTGGAAGCAGAGAGGCTGTGCAGGTGGATTACAGCGGCTGCCCTGTCGAGTCATCTGCCTGGCGCCCGGCTGAGCAGGCGCATGAGCGTCTGCAACTCCTCGCAGGCCCACGGCGAGGGGTGTGCTTGTCAGGAGCCATGACGGAAGCCCCCTGCTCCTGTCCCCTGGCCACCTGGACTCAGACCCAGGCAGCCTCCTAGGGTGCACACATCTCAGGGGGCTGTCGTGGGTGCCGTCTGCCCAGGGACGATGCTGAAGACGAGCACAAAGTGCTCAAACAGTGTGTCACTGAACCGCTAGCGACTCGCCCCGCAGCAGCCCCCAAGGCTGCGCCCGACCCGGTGCCGTGGGCGCCATCCAGCCCGCTGGCCCCAGGGAGCTCTCCCTCTCCTCCGCGTACAGGCCCCAGGGCACGCGGGCAGGACGGCCATTCCATCCTTCCTGCTTAACTATGAGCGGCAGTCACCAGAGAGGTGAGGTGACTTGCCCGGGCCCCTGGAGTGTACCCAGAACCCAGATGGCCTCCACAGCCCAGCGCTCCCCCCGCCCACCGCGAACCCCTCGCCCTTCCTGGGTGCACACGTGCGGTGTCTGCCGCTACTCCTGTGATGTGTGTCCCTGACCCCACGCACTCACGCACACCCATTCCCACGCACACACACCCACGCCCGCTCAGAGACGAGACCCCGCCGCAGGGCGCTGACCTCCAGCCGCAGGCAGCTCCTCACAGGACGGGGCGGGTCTGGGGCCCATCAGCCCTCGGCCTAGGTTCTATGGCTCCGGAAGAATAAAGGGCAAAGGCCCCGCCTTTCTGAGAGGACAGAAGCTGCCCGTCCCTCCCAGCACAGACACACACAGGGTGAAGGGCCAGAAGCTGGCCTGTCCTCCCATGGTCCCTGTCTGGAGTTCCCTCCCCCACGATCCTGTTTATTTCCACCCTGGATGGGCCACGGGCCCCACACTCCCTTCGACCACTCTGACCAGGGCCACCCGCCTTCTCTCGGGTGCCAAGCGCTCACAGACTGGGCTTCACAGCTTACAAGTCCCCCTAACTCAATGATCTAATATTCTGGAAGACACAGCGTGAAAAGGTGGCCAAACCACAAACAAGGTCTCACGTGAACACATGTTCCTATTAATGGAGCCAAAGCCCTCGCCCCTAGGCCACTGGCATGGACTCCGGCTCCTCCCAGGGTGTCTGTCTCTACCTGGGGTTTCGGTCAGGTTAGGCCACACGTGAAGCGAGCTCTCTGTGCACAGGAGTTGGAGGTCGCCCCCCGCACCTACACCGCGCCCTGAAGGCTCAAAGACCCGCTGCCCGGTCCCCGATCGCGACAAGAGCTTGGGGCGCTCCGAGCGCTCACTTCGCGTCACAATCCGGGCGCCGAGGTGGAGAAGGAGAAGTAGCAGTGGCTGGAGGAGCCTCCCTGCTAACTGGCCGTGAACATGGGTGGCCAGGATGGCCGAGTGCTGAGGAGGCAGCCGACCCGGCAGCCCAGGCCGGATCGCTGGGGTCCGACCACAGCGTCAGTACCCACGAACGCAGAACAACTCGCTCGGCAGGGGCCTGGCGTCCAGGGTTGGTTCCAGGCAGCTTCACTGCGAACGGGCGATCCCTGCAGCTCCCTGGGCAGAAGCTCCTGTCCCAGTGGGGGGAGGGGCTCAGGCAGCTCCATGGCACAGGGCCAGGCCTTCCGGGCTCGTCCAGGGACCCGGGGCCGCCTCACTGCTCAGAGCCCTCTGGAAGGGGCCCGTCTGCGCGGCCCTCGGCTCAGCTGCACAGTGTCTCCCCATCGCCCAGATGTCCCCATTTTCCAGGTGAGAAAACGGAGAGAAGAGAGGGGCCTGGCCCACTGGCTCCCCTTCCTGTTCCCGCACCGGACCGAGACCTGTGCCTAGAGACGGGGTGCTGTGTGGCCCCGATCCCAGGCCGGGCGGCAGTGCTCGTGTTCCCTGGGGACAGGTGGGGGGCACGGGGGCAGTTCTGGGTGCACAGTGCCTAGTCTGCCCCAGCGAACCAGACCCTGATACGCAGACACTCAGTTCTCCAGGAGCTGCCTGTGCACAACGGGCGGGAAGTCCTGCTGCAACCGGAGAACCCGGGACACGTGCCGTGGGAATGGAAGCTTCCAGCAGCGTTCTCGGCTCCGCATAAATATCAGAGTGCCGCACCGGCAGCAGTGTCACTGGCCGTGAGCCGGCACGTCTGCTGGCCTGGCCTTCGGGTGGATGGGGACTCGGGGCAGCCTCGGACCCGGTCTCCGAAGGACAGCTTCCCTGCGGGCGAGGCGCTAGAGGCCACGTGCTCTTCTGCAGGGTCTGATACCACTGGAGAACAATGCGACCTGCAGGGGACCAGGCCGGCCCATGGCCGACGTGCTCTCTGATAGGCCTTGAAGGCAGACCGGGGATGAGCCCGAGCACGCAGCCCGCACCCCCCCCTCCCCCAGCGTCTCTGCGGATGGCCTCTCACGCCCCCGCCCAGCCCCACCCAGGCCTGGGCAGTTTCGGTGGGGCACCCTCCTCCGGCCTGCGGTGTTCCTGCGCATGCCCCGATGCACCTGCCCAGAGAAAGGCGCCAGGCTCTTTACCAGCAGCAAGTAGCGGCCAGTCCAGGGCTGACACCAGGCTGGACTCAGCCAGCTGCTTTGCAGGTGTCCTGAGCACAACTCTGTCCCTGCGGCAGGCGCCTCCTCCCCGGGACCTCACGGGCGGGCGAGCCCGAGCCCCCAGGCCACTCCACTCCAACACCCTCTCCGAGATGGACAGAATGTCCGGGGTTGTGATGGCAAGTCTCTTTTAGGGGGAAACCACCTAGTTAGAGCTATTAAGGGGGGAGGGTTGCACTATGTGGCTCAGGGTGAGGTGTGATAAAAACAGGGAGATCTAGCCCTGATGGGGTCATGAGTCAGAGGTCAGAGAAAGCTCACACGGAAATTTGGGAACTGCGACTGCCAAACCTACAACCCCAGTGCCAAGGGAAGGGAGGGTGTTGGGGGAAGAGGGAAGCAGGGGCCAGAGCTCACACCCCCGGCCGGCCATCTGCCGGGGTGTAGTACCCACTGCCCGGGGACGCCGAGTCAGGCCCGCTCACGCACCTCGGTCCAGAGGTGCCGGAACCAAGTGCAAACAGGGACGGGGACTGTGGCAGGGGCAACGGCCTTGGCTGTGGGGGTCCTGTGCCAGCTCCTTGCCGTGCGTCTCCTCCCTTTCTGACTCTGGGGTGCAAGGCTGTCGCCCGCCACCTGCAGCGCTCAGACCCCCTGGGCCGTCTGGGGTGTGTGCCCAACTCCACTCCCACGTCCTGGGGCATCCCATTAGCAAAGTGAACACCTCCCACGATCTCCAAGCCCAGACATGACATTATTTATGCAAATACAACACTCCCTCCGAATCCCACATGTAGCAGCATGCCAGGTGACCTCATGCACCCATCAGTGAAAATGCCCGGCTAACGTTCTCGGGGGTCACGCAGCAACCTGCTCTCCTGCCCGCATCTTGTCCCAACAGCCCACAGCCTGGAAACAAACCCCTCAACCTCTCGGCCCAGCTCGAAGCCGAAGGTACGCCGACGCCCCCAGCACTTACTTCAGCACATCCTTGTCCTTGTTCAGGTGCTGGAAGAAGGACGGCTCGCAGATGAGCTGGTTCTCCTGGCACACCTGCTTGCAGGACTGCCCGGGCTCAGCGAGCTTCACCTGCAGGGCACTGAGGGGCGGCCACATCACCTGCCCGTGGCAGAAGTCCTGGAACGACAACGAGGCCATCAGCTAAGGGACCCAAGCAGCCGGCCAGGCGAGGCGGCCCGCTGAGGGTGGGAGGAGGAGGTGGGCACCAGGCACGCTTGGGTTGGCACTGGCCGCAGCCAGAACATGTCCTTGGGCCAGCTCTTCGCCTCTCTCCACACCAGCGTGATCCGCTGCGAAGGGGGCAGCCGCCCCTCCCACCTCCCACACAGGATGAGGCGTCACACGTCAGGTGCCCAGCACCAGCCTGCCAGTGACCGTGCTGGTCACCGCTGTCCCCGCACCACCAGCAGTCACGGATCCGGCTACTTAGACCCTCGCCCTCGAGGGGCCATCGCGGGCCCACCTTCACCAGCTGTTCTGTTTCTGCTGCTGTAATTCCAAAGAAATGTCAGTGTCTACCTAATTTGGCAGGTACCTAATATGATCCTTTTTAATTTTATTTTTAGGTTTTTATTGATTTTTTGAGAGAGAGAGAAACATCCATGTAAGAGACAGACACTGATCGGCTGCCTCCTGCACGACCCCTACTGGGGATCAGGCCTGCACGCCCCCTACTGGGGATCAGGGGACCTCTCAGTCCATAGGGCGATGCTCAATCCACGGAGCCACGTAAGCTGGGCTATGACACTGTTTTGTGAGCACCAGTTTCAACTTTATGAAGCAAAGGGGTACAACAGGCATCTGTGGGTACGGTTCCCAGGCCCTCTTGAGAGGTCATGGTCTTGGTTAGGGCTCAGGGCTTCCTGGTTGAAAACAGTATGACGCCACCCTAGTTCACCAGCTAGGGAAACAGTCTGAGGACCGGTCATAGGACGTGAAGGAACCTGGCACCCCCTCAGAGAGGCCTCCAGCACGTGTGGGGGGCTCCGAATGGGGCAGGGACCATCAGTCCCAAGATCCAGAGGAGTGTCCAAGAAGACCCAGGGTAGGGTGGGCAGAGGGAGGTTACGCGGCTGGTGAGCTCTGACCTGGGCCCGGCGTCCATGTCCGCCTGCAGCAACCCGGGGGGTGCCCGCGTGGGCGGGCACAGGCAGCACGGGCACCCGGAGCTCGGTGTGCACACCGTCCTGGGCGTCCCAGGGCTGCCCAGCCAGAGGGAGGTGCTGTCTGTGCAGGGGCTCCTTTTGGGGGGCTGGCCCGGGAGCGCCCAGTGGTGGGAGGATCCTGGGCTCTGAATTCCACCTGTAGGAATTCACCCCCCACACAGGGACACGGCGCAGAGAAACATACAGGACGGCGCAGTTCTCAGAGCAGCAGCAGCGAGACAGCCTACGGGCTGCATTTGAAGCGGTAACTGTTTCAATACAAGTGGCCACAAAGAAGTGCGGCAGGCCCCTCTGCAGGCTGAAGGACCGTGCGGCGTGCCAAGCCCCGGGGGACAGGCAGAAAGAATACCATGTGCCCTTGCTCCTGCCCGGCGCGGGGGCCGCAGAGAAGGAAGCCAGGGCCAGGTCAGGAGGTAAGCCAAAGTATCCCAGTGAGTATCCTTCGGGAGTAGTTCATTCTTCCTCAGTTCTCTTTCCCCGCTCTGTGTGGCCGAGGAGCTGATGAATAATGTCAGACCCCAATCTGGGGACCCCCTTCTGGGGAGCGTCGCGGAGGGCCAGGGGAGCCTGACCCGCCGGGCCCCTGAGCAGTGAGGTGGGCGCACCCCAGAGCGCAGGCCTGAGCTGCAGTGAGCAGGTGCATCGGGCTCCCTTTCACAGCTGTGCAACTCGGGGCAAAGTACACACCTTCTGAAGCCTCAGTTTCTGCGTGAGAGAAATAGAGATGACGACACTGGCGACTTCCCACCGCTCTTACCTCCTCCTGCCTCCTTCCTGAAGGACAGATGCTATTCCACGACGAGAGAGGCACCTGGCAGGTCGTGGGCACTCACGGGGCTTCTGTCCTAGGCTGCCCGAGTCAGTGGCCGACACCCCAGACGCAGAGCAAGCCCGCGGATGCCCGCGCGTCACCAGGCCCGTGATGAGGGGCACAGCTGTTTGAGCCTGAGTGAATTTTGTGGGCAACAGACAGGAACCCTTCGCTGCACAGTGGCTGGGAAACCTAGGCCTGGATGCACATCAGCTGGAGACAGATCCCCCCCAGAGTCGGAATTCGGGACAACAGAAACGCAATGGAAAAGTGAGGGATTAGGACTCAGCTTCATCTCCTGGAAGTGATGCACGGCGGGAGGGTCAGCCGAGTGTCCTCCACACAGCCCTGGGCACCAGCGACGGACCGCCCCCGGGAGAGGGCCCTCCGGACTCCTCAGGCCCACGCGTCCTGAGCACAGCCTGTGAGCATGCGGCACAGGGGTGGCTCCCTGGTGGGGACCGAGTGCTCACTGATCAGAGTCCCTCGCTCACCTGGCCGCACAGGAAATGTCCCGGCCGCCTGGCCCGCTGCCCCATGAGGACGGCTGCCAACAGGCAGGAAGAAGGACAACAGAGGTATAAATGCAGTTACTGCTGAGCAGAGCATGGATGTTGAGAAAAGGCTAAATGATGTTTTCTTGTTTGTTTTTCTGGCTGGTTAACACAAGCAACTTTGTTTCTATACCTGTAGGAGATATCTGATAATGCCAATAGTCTTTTAAGTATTAAAATAAAGAGATTTAAATCCAACGTACACCAAAGCCTGCTGTGTGAGTATATGGAACAGGCCAACAGCCAGAGTCTGAGGTCAGACCACGCCACCCACGTCACTAGGGGCCAGGTGAGAATTTCTCTCTGCCTCCCGGCTTTAGTGCAGCCCAGCCCTGGATTAGATGGGGAGCTGGATACCAGGGCTGAAGGCTTGGATTCTGGCCTTTAGAGCTCTTAAAACAAAAACAAAAAACGTGGAATGGCCCAGCCGGTGTGGCTCAGTGGTTGAGCATCGACCCATGCACCAAGAGGTCGCAGGTTCGATTCCCGGTCAGGGCACATGCCCAGGTCGTGGGCCAAATCCCCTGTGGGGGGCATGCAGGAGGCGGCCAATCAATGTTCTCTCTCATCGATGTTTCTATCTCTCTCCCTTCCTCTCTCTCTAGAATCAATAAAGAAAAATAACGTGGCAGGCAGTTAGAGCTGAAGGTAGTGTCTCTATATCTGTTGACATCAGCAGGCCCTTAGGAAACTTTGCGCCTTGTTCATGTGTAGCCTCTTGTGGTAGCGGGCGGCAGTCCGGGGTAGACTTCACGAGGAAGACTCTGCCGTGGTGGGCCAGGAGGAGACGTGGCCACGGACGGCGTTCCACGTCAGAAAGCTGGCTCTGGGCTGCTCCGCGGGGTGCTGCCGGCACACTGCTGTGCAGAGTGATGCTGACAGGCCACGCCATGAGCTGGGCAGAAGGCTGGCAGACAGCAGCTGGTCCACTGACACTCCCCTCCTTCCTGCCACTCTGTGGAGGGTGCCCACGCCCCTCCAGAGGCTGGGGCGCTGCAGTGCTGGCAGCTGCAGAAGCTGGGGGGCAGGGCACCCCGTCCTGCACAAAGCACGTGCCCCCAGAGCTGCGCTGCAGGGTGGATCTGTCCCGCGTGCTCGCTTCTCAGGGAAACACTGCAGCCCACCTCCCCGAGGTGCTTCAACAGGCGAGCCTGGCCAGCCACACATGCACGAGGCCCCGGGCACCCTCACTCCGGGCTCACGGGCGCTGGGCTGGCACCCTCTCAGAAGTCTGCTCCGGGGCCAGGAGGGTCGGCAACAGTAGAAACAGCAGCAAGGCCTGCGGCTCGGTGGAGCTGAGCAGAAGAGGCCGAGAGCGTTCGCAGCACGTGTGGGGCCTGAGGCTCATCACAGGCGAGGCGGGAGGGAGCGAGGGATCTGGGCCATGAATCTGGTCCCAGCGGGTGGACTTGAGATGCCCCTTAAGCTCTTCACATCTGAAATGGAGGACACCACTTGTCCTTCAGTCCGTATAGAATCCCTGCACGGTCATGAGGTGACTCTTAAGGAGGAACCTAGAAATGTTAAAGTGATAATATTCCAAGGTCGACCATTATTTGCTACCAGGGTCCAGAGGCAAAGGTGGATTACATATGACAATTTATCCACGAGAGCCGTCCCTTTGCCCACCTGCAGCCCTTGTCATAGCCTCTTCTCACCCCAGATCACACCCCCGGGGTGCACATGGGAGGCTGGAGGTCGTCTGTTTCACTCAACCTCAGCATAGGCTAACATGGCAATGCCAACTGGTCTCCTCGCTGTGAGCACTCTTCATTCATTCATTCATTCATTCACTCAACAAAAGACCTGCTAAGAAGCAGAAACACAGAAAGGTTCAGAACTCGAAATGCCTGGGTTTGAATCTCCTCCATGCACTAGCCGGATGATCTTGGCTAGTTCATAATCTTGCCTCAGTTTTCTGTTGTAAAATGCAGAAAAGATCAAATGCTACCTCCTAGAGCTGTAGAGGGAATTAAATTAATTATAATGTGTAGCCCTGGCCGGTCTGGCTCAGCCGTCAGAGCGTTGGCACAGATCAAAGGGTTGCGGGTTTGATTCCAGTCAAGGGCATGTACCTCAGTTGTGGTTCATCCCCAGCCTTGGTTGGGGTCGTGTGGGAGGCAACCAGTCGATGTGTCTCTCTCACATCAATGTCTCTTTCTCTCTCTCCCTCCTACTCTACTGAAGATAAATAGAGACATGTCCTCGGGTGAGGATTAAAAATAATAATGATAATGTGTAATGTGCTCAGGAAAGTGCCCGATATGAAGAACGCCTCCTACCGCGGGCTCTCACTGTTACTACGTGCACAGGACTTTCCCAGGCCCTTGGGGTGACTCAGTGGGAAAAGGAACCAAAATCCCCGCTTCATAGAGCTTACAGTCAATGAGGGACACAGAAAGACAAGATGAATACATTCCCTATAACATGCTGAACGGTGATAAGTGCTCTCGAAAGAACGAGTGAGGAAAGGGGATGGAGACCGCGGGGGAAAGGGGTCCAGATAAGGCGTCACTGAGCAGGTACATTTAATTTTTTAAATGATTGACTGATTTTCTTTGAGAGAGAGAGAGAGAAGGGGAGAGA